CCAATTAAATTTTTTATATACATATTTTTATCACAGAAATCAAATGTTTTTTGCTGATGGAAAAATCTAAGACTATTCATTCCAGAATTTTATCTCTATATATAGTTTAAGCAGTCAATTAAATAGCAATTTTTTTACTACTATCGTGCTGAAGTATTGGTAATCGGAATGAAAAAGGGGAAAACGAACAGTGACCGATCTAAAACCAAAAAACAAAAAAAAAAAAAAACAAAAAAAACAAAAAAACAAAAAAATAAAACAAACAAATAAAAAAACAAACAAAAAAAAAACCAAAACAAACAATACAAATCAAAACAAGGACCCCAATTAATCCAGAGGTATATTAGATGCCTAGGAGTAGTAAGCACCCCCTGTTCACCGGTCACACCCGCCGTGAGTCCTATGTATCGATCAGGTAGACGGAATATTCCCTAGTAAAGAAGATGGGTGAACAATTTAAGGCGGGCGAAGTGCCTATAGTCCTATAGTGCGACAAACATGAAGTGAAAATAAAAATCCCAATTATATCAAAATTTTCTTTGATATTTCATCTAACATTAAAGTATACTTTATGTAAAATCTTTTTAATTTACAAAAATCTCACAAAGACTGAAATTATTTGCCTATGAAATAGCATAAATTATACACAATAAAAGAATATTTTTTTCCGAGATCTTTTTTTCTCAGAAAAGTTTTGTTCATCATAATTTGATAAATTTCAATGATGAGAACTTAACTTTAAATACTTGAATCACAAATTGAGTAAGATTTTTTTTAATATCTGAAGCTATAGGCATTCTACACGCCTTGTTCACCCATCTTCTTTAGTATTAAAACAAAAAACTTACAATTGGCATGAAATATGTCAGAAAACGTATTACCAAAATAGGATATATTTGCTAACAATGTCAGCAAAATTTCTCATACATTTATATTCAACAATAGAATTTACGACATGCTGACTTTAAAAGAGGTTGTTGAAATCCCTGTCATATCAACTTAACTGTCAGTACCCTGCCTCGGTTGAAGAATTGATCGTACTCAGAGCATGCTCTGAGTATCTAATGAGTTGAGAGACATAAAAAACCATATGCAGGTGATAGCGGAATATTACTGCATAAATAAGGAATGTTGAGAATGAAAAGCTAAAGTCATTTAGTTTGTCATATAATTCAGTTGTTAGCTGGCCCTTATCAAATGCATAACAGGAATCGAACCTAGGACCCCTGCATCACTTGTCAGGTGTTCTAACCACTGAGCAAACTAGGCCGATGCCCGCAGCCTTAATTATTACATTCCTCCCTCCAGGCCCATATCCATGGCCCAAACCATTACAGTTGGATGCTAAGCAGTCAACTGAATAGTTATCTCCCACTTTTCAAGGGGTGTTTGAATGGAAGTATTTCATGTCTTTGAATTCATTTTGGTTAACTTTTAATTTGGTCATTTTTTTCTTCAGTTGAAAATAATTCATATTGCAATTCTCCACCTTCTTCCAGCATTAATAATATAAATTTGAACAAGAATTTCAGTTCTGACCATCAAATTTTAATTGCATATATCTGACATAACAACAAAGTTTTTGGCTTCTGTATTTTTGTATAAAGAGTTCCTGATAATGAAATGCAAAGGCAACTATTGTTGAGAACAAAAGATTTAATCTCAGTGCATAATTAACAAGTTATCTACTAATTCTGGTCTTTTGTTCCTTCTCAGTTCTGCGTCAGAATGTAACATAATGTAAAAAAAAAAAAAAGTCACATACAAGAATATATGCAAAAATTCCACCTGATTTTAACCAAAGAAAACAATACCTACTACCTTTCAATTTATTTTTTTTTTTACAGAGATGCTAAAAAAAAAACAATAATAATAATAATGTCTCTATAAAATTATAGAGTCAACAAAAAAGATGATATTCTACAATATCTGAACTACAAAGGAGCAAAGAAAAACAGCTAACAAAGATCTACAAACAACCACCAAGGATGTACATTTTTGTGGGAAGGACAAAGCCCACAAAAAATCGCCAAAATACAAATTATGAACACATTCCTGTAAAAGGAATCAGGAAAAAAAAATTGAGTAGAACAAATTAAAATTATAAAAATTAAACAGACATTAAAACTATTGCCCATAACCCTTTAAACTAACTTTTAAATAATTTTTTTTTTCATCTTTTTCAGCACTAGAAAATGATAAACATAACAATGTTCTATTGTTACTGCGGTAGGATAGGAATTAGTAAAATAAAGCTATATAATATTTATTCGGTAGCAAATAAAAAAAAAAAAGACAATAATCATAATCAAGGGAATAAATATGCAATTCAAATAAATTATTCATGAGCCTAAAAAAAAAACTTCGGTAGATAAATTAAGACATTCATACAATATAAAGTTTGATTGAAAAATGTTTTAAAATATTGATTATAGCACTTGCTCAAATATTTATATCATATATCATTCGGTATCTTTATCCATATTTAAAAAAAGCCCTCCTTCTGAACTAATACTGACCTTAAAATAAATAAAATTTAAGTCGCCAAATCACATATCTACCTCACTTCATTGATGACTCGGTAATAATAATAATGTAAAAATAAACTGACAAAAAATCTAAATAAATAAATTTCTCTTTCAAGATTTTCATGGAATGTTCAGTTACTGAATTTTCATAAATAAAATGATTTTCATTCGCCAGTTTCTGTCGCACTTGAAAAACTGGCATCGTGAAGAGAGCTCAGTGAACAAAGGAAACACTGTTGTCAGAAATTAGTAAAACCATGGCTTGTTTAAAAACTCAACAAGACAATAATATTGAGCATGATGTAAACATGGGTCAAACTTTTTCATATTAAAGATATGTGAACAATTTTGGGGATTCATATTATCTCTGTAAGTAATTTTCTAATACTTAATTTTTAGAAAATTTCCAATGTAAATAATAAAATGTGACTTTTAAGACTACACATTATTATTCCAATTGTATTTACTATTTCTCTGAAAGCAACTTTTTGATCAGTTGAATTTACCTTAAAACAATCTCAAATCTCACACTACTCTATGAGCATTTACAAAATATTTACTGTGTGATTCTACTAGATTTAAGATCACTCAGAAAATTATCAATAAAAATATTTAAAAAAAAAAACATGTTCCTAAAAACATTTTTGACACAGTATTCTTCATTTTTAAAAAATCAGGAAGAAAAATGTTTGTTAGGGTACACAAAGGTATACATTACTCTAAAACACTAGTAAAAGCAAGATTAACTGAAGCCTAAACGTGAATGTAGTACAGATGAATTTTCATTTCATCCGTCGTCTGTGTGAAGCATTTCTTACAGGAGTCATGCAAACAGAAAGCTCTTTCATTTTACAGTACAATTTTTCTACATGAATTCTTCATCAAGACATAAAGTGTGATGTAAATCTCTAAGAATTTTGAACATCAACTCTGTTAAATGTCAAATAACAATTTTCTGTAATTTATCCAATATTGAATAATCAATATGTTCACAAATGAAAAAGAATGTATACTAATTTAAAAACAAATTAAAAGCCACAAATAAATTATTCTTTAAGTAGAATAATCCGTTGTTAGTGAATAATTATTGATTGACATTCAGAAGCCCAGCTGCGCATCTGCAGTTAAGAAAAGATGTTAATATGATTTATAAACCATTATCTTTGGTACAAGTAAATAACATGTTTACGAACTCTTTTGTGAACAACATTTAAGCTTTCTCTGCAAGAGGGATTACTACAAAAAGATCCATGTATTATCACAGTTTATTTGCCGGGCCAAAATATTATAATAGACAACTATTATAATAAACGTGGCCAGTTAAAATTCATAACAGACAATTGATGAAACATCACCTGTGTCTGTGTAAAAGAAATCCTTTTAATTTTTCACTTAAAAAAAAAAAAAAAAAGTTGGGAACCATTCTGTTCAAGTATTTAAATATTAGTTAATCTTTATCAGACCTAGAAACATCTGTAATTAAATCTTGATGAAGAATTCAGAAATATTTATGACCAAGATATACATATATTCTTCATTTGCAGACAACACGTCTTTGTCATCAAAAAGAGAAAAAAAATGATTAGATATGTGAAAAATCTCATGTTAAAAATACCCATGAAGTATTGCAAATTGAAGATTAGGAAAATTTCTTAAACAGTCCAGAAAATTTCATACATCCATAGGTACTGTATCTCTTAAAATTATTAAAAAAAAAATCCCCTGTTGCGTTGGGAGTACCTTTATAAAAATATTAATGAAATGCCACAATGAATACTGCATTCAATGATAATGATAGAGTAAATCATACAACTTAACTGTTTGTATGTATTTAGCACTTTTTGTATAATTTTGTATTTTAAGTATGAAAATATCCTGCAGATGAAATTTATAAATTGCTACAGTAAAATCCTTATCCCTTTTAGGTGCTTGAATTGGGGCAAATAGAGTTCATTATCGGTTTCAGTGTTGCAACCAAATTTGGTTTTGTCAAATGGAATGTAAATTCAAACAGAAGTAGGAGATTGTGTTTTTCCTATACCCTGTTCAGCTCAGCTACAAGAAAACTTGACTTAGTCAAAATAAGGTCCGCTGTATTAGGAAAGCTTGAAGCTGACATGATTATTTATTATCCCCTGTATGATAAAGCATGAGTATCAACCAAGTCAAATGAAAACTGAATATGAAGAGCAGCCATAATTAGTTTACATTAACTTCATCTTGTAACTGTAACAATACTTTAAAATAATTGCTTAAAACCTGTGTGTAAGTAGATAATTCAAGAAGTTGCTTCTTTTTTTGTCTACATCTGTACCATTTGTAAAAATTCTTGAAATAAAAATTTTCTTTGATTAATAAATGCACATGTGAATTTTAAAAAAAATTAACAAGTTTGGGCAGTGATGTTATGAAAACAATGCTTGAAAAAAAAGTTTGTTTTTTTTAAAAAAGGAAAAATGTTAAAATGCAATTCATATTTTTTTTCAAATAGCACCTTCAACCACAAAGAACAAATGTGTAAACTATATATAATAAAAGTACATCAATGAAAAAAAAACTTAAAAAGGATCTATAAATTAACCTTTTTACAATGTACTCATTGTAAAATATGAACATTTTAATCTGAAAAATAATTATGCTGTAGTTACGTGAGAATTGTAAATAATCCCAGAATATGAGGCGTAGAATAATATCTCTGACATTACCAGTACGAAAAACATACAACCTGACAATTCAATAGTACAATAACAATTTTTCTCAACCTGTCCCCTCTCTCACTCTACTACATAAACAACTAAAACAACAGATCATCAGCTTAAATGTTAATCTGACATTTACAGAGGTACTTGATATGTTTATCAAAATATGTTTTTCTTTTTAAAGAAATTAACAGGCTTTCATTAGATAATATTAATCTTGTACAGTACATGTACACATGTTTTCATCTTGGTTCTTGAGAAAATTTAAATATAGCAATTCAAGAAGACATACAAAAATAGGTGTACTTATATAATTCACAAGTGTAGACCTTAATATAAAGTGGTAAAATGTGCACAAAATAATTTAACATTTCTTGACTCAATACTCCATACCATGTAAATCAACAGAAGAGACTCGCATTCGCTTCACTTTGGCCCTATGATTTTTGAACCACAGTTGTACATTTTTGGCTTCCAACTTGGGAAACTTTTGGCGATACTCTGACTTGTTCAGTTCTTCACAGTATTTGTCTATCATATATGATGATGGATGGGTATCTTCTGCAAACCACTTCTCTAGCTTGGGTATCTCGGACATGGGATCTATGAAGACTCGTGTTCTGCGCTTGCGGTGAGAGGAACTGAGGCTGTCTGACTTGATGTGGTGATCGGTAGGAGATTCATCACTAGACATGGCTTGTGAGTTCTGCTGTTGCTGATACCTCGTTGTTTGCTGTAGAAAATGACTGTTCATGGGAAAATAAGTCATGGCCAAGGGATGAGGAAAATGGGGAATGTGAAGTGGTTGGTGTAATCCTGCTGCACTGTGTTGCAGTCGTGAAAGAGTACTTGTGTTGTAACTGCCCATGTGTGCCTCCCTTATTGGGGCACCATCTTTCGTTTCATGACTAGATTCTGACCCTGCGTAGGATTGGCTGTCGTCTATATCCGACTCCATTTCATCATCATCAGATCCTGAGTTGAATACCTCCGAATTGCCATTGCTTGAGCGTCTGGAGTGATTTGGATAATCCTGTGAAGACCTCTGTCTCTCAGTATTGTACCTGTTAACTGAGTCTGCCTTGCCATTAGAGTTTTCTTTCTCCTGTTCATCATCTGAGACACTCTTTCGCTTTCTGTTATTGTTAGCTGTGTCCAGTATTTCCTTCTTTCCTTGACTAGATTTATTAGAATTTGACAAGTCACAAGGTTCCCTGGGTTCATCATCATCATCATGGCTATTTTTATACTGGCCATATTGATGAGGCAGAATATACACAGCATTTCTGTTTGGCAGATACGGTGCATCTCCCACCTCTGGAGTCTTTTCATCATCAGATATTGAAGCACTCTCTTTTTTAACTGAGATTCCATGCCCCTCATTGCTTTTGTCATCATCAGACTTGTCCATTTCTGCATCAGAGCTTTTTGATGATTCAATTCTTAATTTCTCAACATCAGGCTTACTTGCAATATCTACTTCACCTTCTTTCTTTAAAAGGTTCATCCTTGCTCTTTGACCTGCCTTGGAGAGATCACATGGTTCTTTCAGAGCATCTCCTAAAATATCATGGGAACTATAAATACCCTGGAACGGATAAGGTAACATGTACGGAAGGCCCCTGGTGCTCATAAAACAACCATTATCTGGAGCATTAGTACTCTCTTCTGTAACCTCATCACCTTCAAAGGATGTGTCACCATCAAAGCATTTTGAAGCCCTCCTATGTGCAGCTCTTGCATTTTTAAACCAGTAAATGATATTGGTGAGATCTAGAGGTCTTCGTCCTTTCCTGGAATCTAATGAATTCAGTTCCTCAAGGTATTTTATCATCACCTCTCTAGGGGGGTGCTGGTTTTCAGAAAACCATTTTTGCAAGCGGGGAATTTCATGCTCTGGGTCAAAAGAGGTTCTCATTCTTGTTTTACCATGCAGAGGGGCATGGCTTGTTAAAAAGCTCTGCGGTTCCCTAGGAGGGGGGGAGGGGTTCTTTTCTGGTGTAGAGGCATTTGAATGCCTGGCCTCCTCGCTGTGCTTCTGCAAGTCTTGGTACCATTTATCAAATGACTTTCTGATTTCTGGAGGAAGATGCGAAAAGCTGTCCCCTTTACTTAAAGATGCCAGCAGATCCTACAAAAAAGAAATTGGAAAAAATGAGGAAAAAGTCATCAAAATATTCATTTTAAATTTTTAGATACATGTAGGTACCTGAATATCCAAGTTTTAAGATTTGCTTTTCACACTGTAAATTGCACATTAAATAAAGTTTTTGACACTCCCCCTTTTGCCTTCAATAATGTTTTGTTTTTTATCTTCTTGGACTTTGTGTATGAAATTGAACATTTTTTTCATTTTCCCTGCACTAGTTTGTCACATAGTTTGTGTTAACATATACAACAATTTTACTGGTCACCAAATTCTCTCTGTCATAAAAGATAACTATAGACACTGCTCAAATCTCTGGTAAGAAAAATGACCATGAGGCTTACTAAATGTCAGTAAAAGATACTTCACTATTAATACTCATCAGTAAGTAACCGATACTTGACTATAAATGCTGATCAGTAACAGCTAATTGACTATAAATGCTACTGTGAAACACATACTTGACTTTAAATATAGAAAAAAAGCAAATACTTCACTATAAATGCTGATTAACTGCTGTTTGCAAAGATTCTTTGCATGATTATCTGTCATTTGATGCCTGTGATTATATATCAAGTTTTCTTTTACCACTGTCAATTATTTGTAATTACATACTACCAATAAATAGGCAGAGCCTTCTCTTCTTCACCACAAAAAGATTTTTTAAAGACAATCTTATTAACAGGTTCATTTAGTTAAATAAAATGAAATTTCCATCTTAACACCCTAAACATCACTTTATCCAAGTCTAATCTTATTTAATATACCTAGCTGGACATCTGAGAATGACATTCAACAACCCCATATATCATTATTCTATCTTTAAAAGACACTGTTCGCTATCATTCAGGGGAACTGCATCTTTCACAATGATCAGATACCTTAACATTCATTTTTTTATGTGGCTTGCCTTATTTCACAGGTGAGGAGAAGGGGAAACATTAGTTAATCAAATAAAAGATCAGCAGAAAAACCTGTCATCCATCTCACATAAACGGCTTTGCCTGATTTTTTCCACTGTATTTTAGCTGTCGGTGTTATTAATCGGTGATGCTTTTTAAGGACAAGAGTCTGATAAAAATTCTCTCCAAGCTGACAATATTTCATTTTATTTATCAAAGTCTTAAATCTAGGTTTTAGTTCATGTTCACTGCTTTCTGAAAACTTCCCTCACCTCATAAGCTGAATATTTTTTTTGAGAAAAGAATGTTTTTGATATAATCTTGAGAAACAACACATTTAGATTTAAGGATATGCTAATTAGAAAGCTTGATATCTTTATTTCCTATAAATGTATTAACCTGAATGAGACGTGTACATTCAGTCAGATAGAGTCAGTGGTGCAGGGTATTTTAAAGGCCTCAAATGTCAATGTTACAAAGATTCCTTACAATTGATCATATATGTCTATGAGCCACAATAATTTCTATTCTCCTCTTTTCATTTTTTGAAGATTAAAAACTGCAACAACTACCAACTATTTTCCAATGTCGTGTACAAACTAGTTCAATCATAAGCAAACTTACATATAATGAGTACATCAAGTACATTATAACAACTTCAGATTTTATCATTTTGCACATCACTAAGTTCAATGAGACTAATTTATAGTACTATATAAAAAAAAGAAATTGGTTTAACAGATCCTTTTGTACACTGTGTGTATTTATAACATTCAGAAAGATATCATGAAATCAACTTACTTTTTCAATGGGACAACCTGAACTCATCAGAATGCCTTGAGATTGAGTCAAGAGCAGCTGGAGTAATTTCCCTTTGATTTCATCTGTGGAACTGAGTTTGGCTGTGCTGTAATGAAGGAAAGAGAGAGTGGCACGAAAATGAAAGCAGATCCCACACTGTATTTCTCATGTAGATTACACCTCCTTGTATAAGAACACAACTTTCACACATAAGTTGAAATACAAATAAACATTAAAAAGAAATTACACTGACTGATTTGAAATAAAATAAAAACACATTCAGGTCATACAATAGTTGCCTTTGCTTCTCTTTAATACATACTTGTGTATTTTTGATTAAAACAAAACTGATAAAAATGACACTTAAAAAATTGCTCTGATTATTTTTTTTTCTTTTCGAAATTTTAAAGTGGCTGTGTGTTAAGATAATGCAGTGTGCATTTCCTCCACAAAATCTTTATCTCTTCATGTATCTACAAAATGTTTACATAATGTAACTCAATTTTTTTTCTCTCTCTTTATTTTCCTCGTGTGCATATATCACACATCAAAAATTGTGTACATAGTGTATATATCTACCACATACACAATTTTAAAGAATTTAATTTAATCATGTTATATAGATATGTGTACTGCCTGGTATTTTCCACATATTACATTGTAAGCACATGCACTCTTTATGCTCCAGTGAAAAAGATAACACTACAACTTTTATTAGGCTTTTAATCTCCCTATGCCATCAGATTTACACTTTTGGTTCAAAATTATATGGCTGATTGTAATCAAATATAATTCAAATGAATAAAGTACATTTTGTATTCTCACTCAACTTTTTACCTCTCCTTGGAAAACCACTCTCATCTTTATTTTTATAACAACTGTTGAAAATATAAATTTTACAGAGGCTGAAGTTTCTCCTCAGTCAATTTTTTTACAGCCCACTTACTGCTTAATAAATAATAATACATGATCATTTTGTAGCATCTACCTTAGGGCTGATCCACACTAGATTAATCCAGATCAACCTGGATTTATTTAATCCACATCATGTCCACACTATAATTCCTAATGAGGGTTAACGAAACCAAACATACTTGACGAAATAATGTGAAATAATGATACCATAATTTATTCTGGATAATGTAGTTCATGCTTGTGAGTTAAGTTTACCCCATTGTAGACACAATGTGAGTCAGTCCAAGTTTACCTGAGTTAATCAAGATAAACTTTCTTGTGTGGACCTTCCCTTGGTTTTGAAGTATTTCCCTCAAAGATTTATTTACCTGCAGAGTCGAATTCGAAGTTTAGCTGTCTGGGTCAAGTCGCCTAAGATGTCCTCTACAGTGGACTTGTTGTCATCTGTAATGGACTCAAAATTCAGGGGCTTCCAGTTCTTGATTTGAATAGCACCTATATTGAATAAAAAGATAGTTATCATAGGGTTGTGACATATTCAAGCTAACCTGTTCACCATCGTTCACCCCTAACCAGCTGACTTGTTTTTTTTCTCCAAATTTGAAGATATGTATTCTTTCTTATCATTAAATTTTCATATCATTTCAGTTAAAAATATTACATGTAACTACAGTTTCATGTTTATTTTACCTTTTGCATTCATTGCCTCATTTGCATTGTAACCAAGTTTGATGAGTGCTGTGCGTACAAGTTCTGAAAACAGGGTAGTACAAGGCAGTATAGCATATGTGTCCAGCTCTACGCTGTAAGTGGCAGTATTCTCTGGTTCAAAGGTCAAAGGTCCACTTGTTTGTTCAATGACACAATGGATTGGTAAAGATTTCACTCCTATAAAGAAAAAAATTGTCCTCTACTGATCAAAAAGGAAAACTTTCTTCCATTATCACAAGTATACCTGTGTATGGTTCCAGCGACTAAAAATTTAAAAATATTTTAAGGTTTCAGGTCTCTTTAAAATCTCTGTATCATTTAAATGTTATTACTCAGCAATGCAGTAAATCAAAGAGATTTTAATAATATAAATTTCAGAGCATGTTTAAAATAAAACTTAGGAAATATCAAGATACAATTTTTAATTCCCTCTTCTTGAATGAGATTTTTGAGTTTTCTTGTACGTTTTTTTGAGTAGAAAACTCAGTTTCTCACTTATTACAACATTTCCTCAGTCAACAAGTACACAGGTTCTAAAATCTTCACTTACACATTCTGTTTTAAGAAATATCAAAACAGATAGTAAATCCTTTGGTCTGGTGCAAATTAATCCTATGATCGTAATTTCAAACATTTTGAGCTTATTTACTCTCTCTGTGTGTCATGCATTTATAAATTTAAAGTCGTCATTCAAAGAAGTCGGACAAAGATCATCCTTATAAGCACAGAGGAAATTATCTTAAATCCGTCCCGAGATTTTTCAATTTAACTGAAAAGGGTAAATCCTCTTTAAAACCTCTAAAAATTTAAAATCCAGTTTTATTACAAAAGCAAATAAATTTAGGTCCTTATCCCTTATAAAATACTAAGGCTGTTCTACCTCCCTGAAACTTCCAGCATAATCTCCAAATAGGATAAGCCGTGGCAGAGAACCTAGTAAATTCCTGTACATACAAATAATGAAATAATTCCAAAAATTTCAGATCCCAGCCTCAGAGAAAAGATTTGGTACAAACTGATCTTTATCTCTTTGTGAATTTCTACAGTTCTCACTTAAAAAAAAAAAAAAACGGATCAGTGAGAGACGATGTTTAAATTTCCATAGACTGCATATTAGGGAACAACAAACACTTAGAATACTTTGATAAACAAAAAAGATGCTATTAAACATGTATCACCATGATCACAACTTGTAATTTATTCAGCAGATGTCACCCACCATTCAGGATACTTCTTGAGCTAAAGAAAAGTTTGTCTAAAACTCCACAACACTGAAAATTCAATAATTTAATAAATCCCTAATGCCTGTACATTATTCAAAGTTATTGGATCTGATTATTCAAATTTCCAAAAACGAACATGAAACATATGGTGGTGATTTTTTTAATACATGGATAATTTCCAAAGAAAAAGATATATAAATCTCATTCAAGTAGCTTATGCAATTCAAGTTACTTACACCAGAAAAAAATCTATTTTTGTAGATCCATTAATCAGATTTTCCATCAGCCAATGGTGTCTGCAAGTTATACACAATATACAGAGCTTATCCAATTTATTTCATCATTTCTAATGCAGTGTTAAATCAGAGACTAAGAGTGAATTACAGAGTCATTGTAATTACTTTTGTGGAGTGATGAACCACATCACCTTTTCACTGATTACATTTAATCAGCTTTGTTTAAGCTGAAGTGATGACAGATGGTCCTGGTCCTAATCCGCCAAGAGACACAAATCTATATCACCTTGTCACCATCACCGACTAAAAGCCTGCTGGTCATTAATACCGTAAGGTTGTCAGGTACCCGGTCAATCCACTGTCAGCTATCCTGCATTTACTTATCCATTAGGTACAAATACCAACATACATTAACTGAAATTGCTGATTTGTCTGTTTCATAAATCATGTTTATACAACAATAACACAATATCCCTAGATTAACTGGAATCTCTTTAACTAATTTTGAAAAAGTTCATTTTTTCATTTTATATTTTTAGAAATAAAAAAATCTCAAAATATAATCATAAAAATTCATAGATTTGAAATCCACCTCACAAGTACACCATAATAAACACACAATGCCTAAAAGTCCAGAAGTTTATGGAAACTAAAAATTAAGGTGGCAATAAGAGAAAAGCATCATCAGCCTGATTAGGGGATAGATTTTACTACACTTTATCCCATGGAGCAAAAACCACCTTGAACTTTTAAGATGACAGCTTAGAAAGAAAAAGAAAATGAAGAAGAAAAAGGAATTAATACAAAGCGGATTATGCCCAGCCTTTTTGGGTTTGTGCTCAGTGCAAAAGGAAAAAGAGATCTGTCTAATTCCTTTTTAACACTTCATACTTTCCATGGAAGGACTTATGTAAAGCGATAAGGCAGATGCATGGTCGTTTAATCCGGCTATCCTCAGATTCATCCTCTTATGAGCCAGCTGCTTTTGTGTCAGATTTGAATTAAAAGAAAAAAGCGGAAAATAACAATCTCTTCTCTTTATGCCTCTCATTGTCAATGCTGGATCTGAGGATTTTAATTCCATGACAGCCATGTGATAGATTGCTGCTGCTGAAGAGCCCAATGCTTCTTAATCTGCGGATTTATGCAAATATCATAGATTCTTGCCCTGTTTTTTTTTTTTAATCGCTACATTCCAAACAGTTGTATGACAACTGCAAATCACTGATAAAAGATGAGGGTGTATTTATTCTCTTCATCATTAGGTACTTTTTACATATATTTTATACATGTACCAAAGTGAATGGGTTTGCAAAGGCAGATGTAAAATATTTAGTATACTTTCTCAATTAAAGAGAATAAAAAAACATAAACACGCAAAAGAAAAAGCAACTAGCTAATCAGAAACTTGTTTCTTGTGCTCAACACCCCCACCCCCCTTTTCCTCTTTAAAAAGAAAAAAATCAATGCTGCATTACGTGTTGTTAAAATTAGATAAGGGAGATAACACAATGTTCCAGTGGCCTAAGCTACTTCCTTGAATATCTACACACTTGAAGCCAGGCAGGATTAATAATACATATAGCTAATAATAGATATTTCCTCATCTGTTTTAAATAAAATTATTTGAGTTACACAACATTTTGAGCCAGACAGATCTTACAGAAGAAAGGACTGGCTACTTACAATATTTCTCTGATGGATGTGATTACTGTAATTTTTAAGCAGTGGGTGTCTTCATTAAACTTGAGCTGGATATCTTTGAATTTCAAGAAACTGTCAAAAGTCAGAATCTTATCACCAGTAATTAACAGCCAAGTTAAATCTCTCAATTACTTCAGGGGGGAAAAATAAAGATCTCATACAAGAACTTGTTGATGAAGTTGGTAACATAACACAAATTCAAATAATCGTAAGACCATTGATAAAAAGAAAATTTTGAATTATGGTAAAGCTTACATTAAGATTATTAAAATGATACTGCATGTGAACAGATCAAGAGAATGTTTTGATTAATTTCTAAATAACTGGTATAAAACTTTAAAGAATCACATGTTGATATCAAAGAAACACATTTAGCTCGAGATTAAAACATACTAATACAACATCTTGAATACTTTTGTATCCGGCTTTAGCAATCACATTTTCTTCAAAGATACTGCCAAATATATTCCAGTATTATCTGCATTAAAAGCAAATCTTGTAGAAGTTTGCAGCTGTCCTGAATTTACCTATCAGTTGTACCTTAATTCTTCTAATTCCAGAGATTACACAAACTCGTAATATTGTTTTACACTTCACCATCCAATGTAACATGGCGGTCTGATGATCTTTACTTCTTATATAATGTACTCATTTCTCTGAAGAGTGAATGAGTTGTATGGTTTCACCAAGTATTTTCCACTCTTTTCAAAAATATTTATTCTAAATAATAATAATTAAGGAAGAAAAACACACAAAAGAATTATGTTTGCACTGGAAAAGGTTAACAGATCTAAATTTTGTGAAACAAGTACCATGCCCAAAAGGCTATTAGTCTTTTTACCATATCACTTTCCCTGGAAGCAATACTGAATCCCAATAATTTTGACAGATTATACTGTTACATCAACAAAGTTTTTAAAAAAATTTAGTACATCTGAATTTCTTTATAAGCATTAATATGAAGTTTTAGCAGATACAATGATAACCTCCAAAAATTAAATTAGATATTTATATCCAGTTTCTTAGACTGCATCATTTAATCAATATATGTATCAGAAAAAGGCAAATGGCATGATTTTTTTCTTCCTCTAAAGGTTTTTTTTTTTCTAATTTAATCAGAATAAAATGTTACAGGTAATACAAAGTTTGATATTCTGCTCTACAACACAAAGACTAACAAATTTTGTAGGTTATATATCATAATCATCATAATCTTATAATCCAACATAATCTTACATAAAAACTCAGTCCATCTGATGCAAAAGCATATTTTATGCACTGAATATTCAAAAACAAGAATTATAAATAAAATTTCCAACCATCATATTTGTTCTCCTCATACATTGGATTCTAAAAAAGTTATGAACATACTTGTGTTTAGCACCTTTAGTTCTCTTAATGGATACCAAAAGTTTCTCAGTATAAATACTGTTCTCAGATTACTTAAATGTTTCATTTGTGTCAATCCATGGTATACTGTGACCTTTAGCATGGGAAGTACAAAGTTGTAAGGAGTTATTAATGTGAGAAGTTGGTTTCATCACAAATTACTCCATCCAACCATGATAAATGTTTTTACATTTACAGTTATATTCCAGAAGACAAACACTGGCCATCTTAGCATCATTCTAACAAAGGAATTACATGGCTAAGGAACTGTTTAAATTATTGTTAAGCATCAGAGGAATAAAAGATTAATTACGAAGTTCGACAAGACGTAGCAGCTAAATTCATTTATTTCCTTGTATGTGATATTTTATAGTACATTTTGTTGTGTTAACATGAAAACCAATTTCAATCTCCTACACCTGAATGATATTATAAAATATCTGTGATAAAATTTCCTAAAAAATTTCTACTTTTGTCGCCTTGTCTATTCATGTCCAATCGATGTATTTAAATTATGATTGCTGCACATCTTTACTATTTAAAAAAAATTGTGGATCAGACAGCATAGTGCAGAGATGTGTCGTAGGGCCCAAATTTATAAAACACTTACTCATCATGTTTGAAATCAAGTTAATATGTATGTCTTCCTATGAATTATATTCCTATGCAATACAATGTATATGGTTGAGCAAATGTTGACCTTTGACCTAAACCAATGATATGACCAAATGTAATGTCTTTATCCCGCTTAGCAAATACATGTAATAAAAAGTTAAATCTCAGAAACACTTGAAAACATCATACATTAAAAGTTTCCAGAAAATTACTGAAAATGTCATATGTGATATCAATGATATAGTAATTCTATAATGGATTAGTGACAATTGACAATTTTATTGATATATAAAGAACAGTTTACTTCTAATTTCACAAGAATATCATCTTGAACATTTTTCTATAAATGCTGGAGAGTTTTCTCTCTCTCTTTCTTTCTCTTCCCCTCTCTCTCTGTAAAACCTGAGGTATTAACTAAATGGAAAATTCAGGTCGTGGGATTAGAGACAAGAGTGGAAGAATAGAAGATATGTAAACATATAAAGGATAGACACTTAATCCAGGGTCGATTTAATCCTCGGGATTGAATGCCCTGCACACACAAAATCCTAATTTAGACAGTCTTTTCATGATCAGGGTTTAGGAAACGTTTGTTGATTGTGATGTCTTCATCTTCTGTACTTGAACTTAATCTCCAAACACAGGATATCGTAAATAAAGCCGCTTATATTTTTTTTAATCAAAATTTTATTTAAAAATCTGTCTGTCTCCCCTTTCCACAACAGAAAGATTTGTGATTGAATGTTTGATCCAAAAAAGGAAAAGACTATTTCAAATTGAAAAAAAAAATGGACAGAGGCAAACTCGGCTTTTTACACAGAGAACTGTGAATCTTAAATACACTCTTTATTTAAAAAAAAATTGTCATAAAGCCAATATTTTTATATCCTAAATGCTCACCGGAGACAGACATATTTACACTACAATGCCAGATTCTGTCGACACTGTAACAATTGTTTATCAATAGCCAAAGTTATGTTTATTTAACAACATGGGATAAACTTCCTCATTGTACAGAGAAGAAATACAAAATCCACAATGTTCAAATCCAATGAAAGACAGAAAGGATATGTGTTTGCTGACAGAGGCCATAATTATATGTTGACTCTATAAGTGTTACAGTTTAATCTCAAATCCATCAAAAGTTAAAGCTAGCCACACAATAATTCATTTTATGCCCCTTACAACAAAATCAATGTAATTACACTTTAATGTCCTTGGAAGTCAACAATAATTTTCTTTTTATTTTCATTTTTTTAATGAAAAACCCCTTGGAGTGACAGAGAGTATTTTTATAAAAATAAAAATCAATTCAGTATCTTCTTATAATCAGCATTAACAGAATGACTGCCCAAATCAACACAGACATTTCCTCTCCTCCTTCACCCAAAATGATTTCTAGTTATAATAGATCCTTCTAGGAGTGATCAAACAGTTTCAAATAAAGGCTAAAAAGACAGAAGGGATCTTCTTGTAATTGGGGAGGAAGATGACGTTACGGGAAATCATACCTAGGAACTTGTCTGATAAAATACTATTTGAATACAGTAATAATCTCACAATTTTCTCCATTCAAACCACTGATTTATCCACGCTATTGTATGGGTAGTAATACAGGAGAGCAAGGGCAAAAATCAGAGACAAGGCTTTAGACCCTGGATGTCATTTAATTGATCAGACTTAGAGGATTAGGAAATCTTGGACCAAGATGCCTGCTTCATCTCCCCCAATTAAGGAAGTCTTAAGATTATCCCTGCATATGTAAGATAAGATCACCAGGCTAAATTGAACATAAATCCCCATTTTATCTGCCTCTAACAACTGTAATATCCTACGAAAATTACATTTCTCATCCATTGCTTATTCAGTAGAATGAAAAGGTTGGGATTATGAGTAATAAATAATTGATGACAGTTTCCTTTTACTGCAAAAAGTTTCAGGAAGGGTCATAGGCATTACCTGTGGACTAAAAAATCTAATGATAAAATCATTCTGAATGTCTTCAAAAGTTACTGTGTCGCTAATATGTAGTAACAAACGGATAAAGATCTGTGCCAACTCATAAATTTTTCATACTGCTAATTCACATCATTCATTAAAATGTAAAATCACTTCTCAAGAATAGAAAGATGTCATTGGAAATAATAATTGAAACCTCATTAATGTCCATCATAATAATATTTCCACCAATCACAAAATTCAAACTAGATTTCCTAGTAAGAAAATTATGCATGCTTCAAGGAGCATTACAGCTGTAGATTTTAACATTTTTTTTTAATTACAAAATATCAGACTTTATTAGACCTAAATGGACAGCCGCCTGCTGTGAGAAAATTTGCTAATCTTTTTGGTCAACATCCAATACCCTAATCTCTTGCCTAACTAACCCACAATGGAAGGATAATCCTTAAAAGTGAAATTTGTTATTTTAAGAGATTAACCATTTAAGAGCAGTTAACAGGCTGTTTGTATTTGAAATAATCATATTTAATCTGGCTGTCCTTTTCTAAAGTTAAGTAGATTACGTGCTTTTGCTCATTGGAAGAAATTTACTGAAAACATTTTAGAAGAATTTATAGTCATCACACTTTAAAGTTTCTGACTTTACAATTATATACTAATATCTCTCATAGATGTAGTATTCCTCACAAAAAAATAATTCTTTAATATAAAATTAATACAACGAAACCAAAACTACTTGTATATTTTCATCCATTGGATTGACTTTATGCTCATTTAATTTAATATGGGTATATGGATCATTTACCAGGATGTTCCTTTATCAGTAACTTTTCAAACTAAGTAGGAAATTCAAAACTTTAAAAAAGAAAACTCAGGAAAATTGCAAACATTAACAGAGTTCCAGATGACAAAAAAAACTAAACTTTTAAGAAACATATACTGGTACTTCTTTTTCAAACTTTATTTTAACTTCCTTTAAAACTACTTCTACACCATTTTAGCTTGTTTTGCTATTACTTTTTGATTTTTTTTTCTAACAAAATAAAGTTCACAAAAACTTATATTTGAAAATTTCCCCCCTAATTACAATCTTGTTATGATTAATGAATAAAGATTTATAAGTTAATTGATGTTCAGATGGTATTTGTCACAAAGTTATTCATGTGTTGTGCATTAGAAAGTGCAAATGAAAAATAATTTTTTTCAGGAATTAATTTCAACAGGAATTGAAAAACTTTAATAGATACTGTATATATCAACACTAAATGCAATGACTTTTGCTCATGAATTCTTCAATAATCGTAAACTTATCTGCAACAAACAATATTCAGAATTGATTTCAGGTTTCCTTTTCACATGTTTAAAGCTTTTACAATTTCATGACCATACATATCTGCGAGCTGAAGTTGAATCTCACAAATATTTCTTGCACATGCATTAAATTGGTTAATTATTACGTGTTGCATTTTAAGTCTTATAAAATGTATGTACATTATAAGATAAAAGATGCAAAAATCAGAAATAGGATTTTAGTGCAATATGTAAGTATTTTTCCTTGGATAAAAATTTTCTTCACTGTCTTTCTTATTTCAAGTTTTAAAAAAATGTTGCCCTTCCCTGGTACTTCATTACATTAATATTCATACCTGCAAACATTATATGAAACACCCTTTTTGTTTTGGTTTTGTTAATGTTTATTTTCTTCATGATGTACTAAGCATATTGAATAACATAAATTGTTGCTCTCCATTTTTGCAAACTGAATCATATTTATCATATTAAAAAAGCAAAATAAAAGTAAGTTATTTGGTTGGAAAAACTTACCCCCCCCCCCCCAAAAAAAATAAAAATAAATAAATAAAATAACTAAAATACCATACCAGTAGCACCGGCTGTGGTTAGCCCCTGGCCAGGGGAATTGGAACTGCTCCTCTTTTTGATTTTCTGCTCCATCTGAATTTGTGAAGGAATTTCCTCTGTGGGTGCAACCTGTGGAATCTGGGAAAGAGAGAATAATGTTTGATCAAAGACCAGTGCAGGGTATGAGGCACGTTTCATCGGAGTGGTGATCTAGTGTGATCCATATAATCAAAACAAGAGAGAGTTTATATTGGTCTCCACATAATTTGATAATATGTGAATTAATAAAGGTATCCAATCGATTTGTTAACTCTTCCCCACTAGTGTAGCTTAAATCCGAATTTATTATTTTACTTGCTAATTGAAATCTTTTAAGATAGCATGTCTATCATTGATAACTCCTCCCATATTCATGGGTATGAGAAATGTTTAGATCATACTCATACATTTAGAGATGAGATCAATAGAAACAAATATCACAAACATCCTTCACAATTTTTTCTCCAATATTATATTCAATTCAAAATTCAAATGATTTTTTATTTAATTTACACTCTAAGGCTAAATACATAAATATTGTTTTTATTTATTTACTGTAACTCATTATTTTTAAACAATCTATAAACACTGTTTAGTGAAACTGCATGTCCATTTACAAATCCGAATGCTTAAAGTCAATGTTAAAAATAAGAAATCTATATTTAAAAAAATATTTGTATTTACAAAGACTCTGGTTAAACACTCTAAAGCACTTTTCATACTTTTTTTACCTAAGAAAGGAAGTATAACAATTAATAGTTAAATTAACGTATTTAGCTAAAAAAAACATCACAGCTAGGTTACATGCTGTCAAAAATTTTTTATGAAAATACAGTAATGGGCACGAACAGTCAAAATAATAAGTATTTAAAATTAAGTATTAAGATATTTGACAGATAATGGTAAAATATTTAAATTTTGATAAGTTTTAACACTTTTTAAGATGATTCACAAAATTTTTAAAAAGAAGTATACAAAGCATGAAAAATTTTAAACATTAAATTCACAATCATGAATAATAATATCTCCAATGTACACAAAAGACCATATTTTTTAATACTTATAAAACTATAAACTAATTTCATTGCATGAACTTCGCACTCACTGTCCACAGACAATTAGATGGGAGACAATGAACCTCTTACCTCATTTGTATTGACAGCTGTCGGGGTGTTTGCAGCCACCCATGCTTCTGCGAAGGTTTCCATTGCAGCATGGAAATCCATCTTACTGATTCGAAAGTTCAACCGAAGATTTTAAACTCATGAAAACGCCTGAGTACGGAACAATATGTTAAAGACTAAGGAGGGCGGATTAACGCGAACAGACGGCATGAGGAAAACTTGGGAAATGTTTGGATGAAAAAATGATAAAGAGTTTCTAAAAGTCACCATGCATCAAAACCGAATGGTTCGATGATAAAGATACAGCGACACACCCGGTCTTTGCGCGCCTAACATTTCAATAACAACCAAATCCCTATCCCTGGCCAGTTAAAGACATCTCGTTTATCCCTAAGAGGATTAGCAGGCCTTTTTACGAACAATAATAATAACTCCGCAGAACTATCTTTTTATATTTATCAAGACATACTTAAAATAAAGAGGATTCTTTTTGATATTTGAAAGAATCATATGAGGAAAAGTCAATTAAATATTGTGTAAAATAATGAAATAGTTTTATTTACAAAGTATAACTGACAGCGTATGGATATTTGCTAAGGCAATAAGCCGGAAAAGCTTTGAGATATGTATTTTCAATAAAACGTTTAACCATATGAGATTCTCACTTTCACAATTAAGCTTCAAAGTGAGTTTGATGTCAATAAAATTCCCGAAATGATAAGAGAAGACGTTTGTTAATTTATGGGAATTTCTGCTTCTACTAGATGCAGGCATTCATAATTACTACATTTAAAAAATCGTAGAAAACTTCCAAAGTAGAATATTTCAAAACCGACACACATATTGTACATGGTATACTTGATTGTTAACAACAAAACATGGCGGCCAGAACTCTTGTTGTCGTGTTGGCAGTAATAACAATTTGCAGTTCTGCAAAATACAAGCAAGGAGAAAAGGTGAAATACTCTATACATAAGATTTAAAGTGATTGTGATGGTTATGTTAAGATAAGTATTGAGATGAAACAAGCTGAACAAGAAATATGAACTTGCATCCTTTTTATTACGTTCGAATTTTCTCTATGCTCTTTTACAGCTCTTGTATCAGCAGTGCTAGAATTCAGAAGTCATTTATTTTTGACAGACTGAAGGGCTATCGAATTGTTATTTTTTGCTATGTTTTATTCCTTTAAATGATAAGTATTATATATGACAGTGCGACCGCTTAGGACAAGCGCAGTTGTTTAGATTATCAGGTACAGTACAATCACTGCATTAAGTTACGTAGTTTGATCAATTGAATAACCTAAATTGCTTTTTTAGTTACTTGAGGTAGCTCTATTTAGCTATTTTAATGCGAATTTTCTTAAGTTTGCTTTTTATATAAAATACACAAAAAATTGCAAGTATTTGACTACTAATATATGTACCATGAAGTTTTAGAAAAGCAACCCAGAGCAAAGATAGTTTAAACATTGCTGCTTTTGAAAAGTATGATTACTTCACATTATGCTGAATTTTTACCAATGGATTATCATCTTATTTCATTCATGGGTATCAAGTCAACTGGTAACCTGACCAACTTGAAACCAACAAATCTTGAACCCAATACATCAACTCATAACCAAAAGCAAAGTCTACTTGTACCTAAAGACTCCGGTAAAGAAATGACTCTTGATTTTTGAGGTGAGAATCAAGACGTACCCTGCCTTTTGTCTGGTTATGGGTTAAGACTGTATCAATTATATCGATGCTTATCGATGTTCAAGAATGTATCGAAAATCTAACTTCCAATAGGTATCGGGCCGGCAGATTTTCTTATAATTCTGTGAAAAAGTTGGGAATTTCAGTCAGCAAAGGTTATATTTTCACTGTTTTGAATTAAAATTGATCATTAATGATAGAATCATTAAGGAGATAGCACATCTTAGATAAATATTAAAAAATACATATTAGACAACTTTCTTTAACATGTTGATTTTACACTGACTAGTGTAATTTATAATGACAGTGAGACAAGAACTTCGAAATGGGTTATAAAACAATTTGTTTTTATAAAATTCATGCATTAATTGGTTTGTAAGACTTTTTTGATAGACTTATTAAAGAATCCAATATATTGCATATCACATCATCAAATATTGTATCGTATCGAATTATTTTGCTCAGTACACAGCCCTATTATGGGTCAACTCTATCCTTTCAACTTGTTTTATTTTAACTATCTGAATTTTTATATTCATGATGTACATATAAACTAACATACTACTGTTTATACAAAATGAATCCTGTAAAATAGTTCTTACTAGTAATATCATGTTCTGCATTTAATTATTAATTATTGTTTGTCAGGGGGTTCACAGGTATGTGAAAGTCAGTAAACATATCGGGTCTCAATAGCTCAGTGGTTAGAGTGCTGGCACAGTACACCAGAGGCCCTGGGTTCAAGCCCCGCGACTTGGCCACAAGTTGGCCAGGTTACGAGTTGACCAGAAACCCATTCAAAAAGTATCTGTTTTGTCACAAATTAACTGTTGTATATAGTCCCAAAACCTTCAGAACTTTAATCGCAATTGCTCTGAAGGAGACATCTTGAAAAGTGATTTTTTCATGAATTAATTGTTTTCAGATCAGTTCAAATTCAGTTGGAAATCTATCACTGCATCAAAGTTCTTTTTCATACAGTCATGCTGAATAAAATGCTTTTTAGGTAATTCAAGCTATATAGGTAAATGTAGTGATTGACTGGATCTGATTATTACTTTTTCTCGCATAATCACCAGTGTGAGATTGACTTGTCCGGTGTGAGACAGCAGTGTGAGATTTTTCTGTCTTACACTGTGTATTACTACGCCGCGAACGATAACGTAAACATTCCGTCTTTATATAAAGAAATTGTAACAATGTTAAAAAAATATTACATATACTTAAAATGTTGTCATTTAACTTATTAAGATAAACTTATTTTCATTCAAAATATTGTCGTATTTTCACTTTTTAAATGGCACTATTTTTAGATCGCGGAAGGATTCTTCTTGAATGAATGTGTACGCTATCGGATAGATAAGTTTTTTTATTCCCAGTTTTTATCTATCTAATTAATTTACATGGACTGAAATTCATTTTATCAGTTTACACTATGTGTAAACCATTTTCAGGTACGCTCTCTCCGATGGTGTATTTAGATTTTTAATTAGATGGAAAATTAAAAGAATATATTTTTAGCCCTATTATGGCAACGTCATTGAAGGCCGTTATTTTGGATAAAATAATGCGAGAAAAATAATCATTCATTACATACTCGTGTGGGAATAGTGAAATTCCACCTCGGGGCCAAGTTTCACGGTCTAGGACTCGGCAAAGCCTCGTCCTAGACCGTGAATCTTGTCCCCTTGGTGGAATTTCACTATCCCACACTCGTAGTAATGAATGATTCTATTAATACCATCCAAAGCCTTTAAAAAGGCTGGGACCAATCATCTAAATAGGATAGTATGTTGATGGTGCGACTGTTGAGGTGAGCCCAGTTGTGTATAATCTGGATACCTATTCACTTGTAACTTAGATCCGCCTCTCAAATCGTATGAGAAGACTGTGATGTCACATGACATTATATATTAGTTGCAATTCCAGAATGAAGTCTAAAAAAGGCATATATACTGTATACACTGGCCTATAAGTCGGTTTTTTGGGAGTTAAACTTTGGTCCAAAACTCTTTATCCGACTTGTACGCGAGTTATGAAAAGATGAGTATTTTAGTGAGTCAATCCCTCTAATTTAAGCTTAATAAATACAACCGACTTATAGGCAAGTATATACGGTAGTAACCAAAGAGTGTCTAATCTTATACATGTATCTCTCTTCCATTTCCATCATAAAAAGGTAAGTCTGCGATAATCCCTTTTGAGAAAAAAACATTAAAACATCTGCTTCAACAGCTGTACAGTCATGTTGCTTCCTAATGTAAATAGAGTTCTGATTGAATCTATTATATACTTTTACATTTTTAAAAATTAAACTGCTTAAAATGTTGGTAACTTGGTTAGACCATATGATCAAATCAGATAAAGTTTTGTAGGGACTGAATACTAACAGGCAGTATAAATTAAATTCCAAGAAAAATTCCTCCCGTCTGCTCACTTTAAAATTGGTGTAAATGATCAGAGGCCCAAGTAATTTTGAGTAAAGAAAAATAGGTCAATTTTGGAATTGATTTCAGCATATCATAAGATTGGAAGTATACCACATTTGAGAAGAAACTTCGGTAGTAATGTAGATTGATTATTGAATAGAAAGTGTAATTTTAAATCATTTGATTTATTAATATTGGGTACCCTATATCAGTAAAGCAATCTAAAGGCCTGTGCATAAGTGCAACAACTTTTGGTAAGCAAGTTTTTCTATAAACCCTACAGTTTATGAGAATGATTCCCTTTGAATTATAGGATCATCTCCTCAACAGTAAGGATACAAAAATATACTTACCGAAAGTTGTTGCTTTTTAGCTCAAGAGAGCTTTACCAATCAAAATTTGTCTGTTGTTTTTGTTTTCATCATCGTAAACTTTTTAGCTCACCTGATCCGAAGGCTCAAGTGAGCTTTTCTGATTAAAATTTATCCTTTGTCTGGCGTCGTCATTGTTGTAAACTTTTTACAATTTCATCTTCTTCTCTAGAACCACTGGGCCAAATTCAACCAAACCAACCAAAGTAAAAATTGGGTGGGGTCATTTAAAAATGTTCTTCTCTAAACTACGTGGCCAGAAAATATGAAAATATGAAAATTATATTCCTGACATAGGGTAGATTCAAATTGTTAAAATCATGACTCACGGGGGGAGGGCGTGGCCACTATGAGGGATCAAAGTTCTACATGGGTATGTGTAGGAAAAAAATATTTAAAAATCTTCTTCTCAAGAATAGGAAAGCCATGATTGGTGATATTTATATGGAAGCATTCATAGGTAGTGTAGATTCAAGTTTGTTCAAATCATGATCCCTAGGGGTAGAATGTGGTCACTATGGGCTATCGAAGTTTTACATGGGTATAAATAGAAAAAATCTTCTCAAAAATAGGAAAACCCTGATTAATCATATTTATATGGAAGCATCCTCAGCTTGTGCAAATTAAAAATTGTTCAAATCATGATTTCTTGAGATAGGGCCACTATGGGGGATCAAAGTTTTCCATGGGTATATGGGAAAAATCAGTGCTCTGAAACCAGGTTTTGAGAATGGGGCCAGGGCCGTTAAGATTGGGAAAATCGTGACCTTTTGGGAAATTTTGAGATACTTAAAAATCATGATATATTGGATTTTTTGTCTTTGTTATCAACTACATTTTTGTTTTGCAATACATAGGAATATAAATAGCAAGTTTAATTATTATATATCCAACAATATTTTTTTTAGTTATTTGGAGAAATGACAATTGGGAAAATTAACACATTCGATTGGGAGAAAAGGTACCTTTTTTGAATTGGGAATGGGGCCCTTCAAAGGCCCCAATTATAGACAATTGAGAGCCCTGAAAAATCTGGAAAAATCTTCTTTTGAAGAACAGCGAAGCCATGATTGGTCATATTTACATGTATCTGGAAGCATTCATAGGTACTGTACTAGATTCAAATTTGTTCAAATCATGACCCCTGGGGGTAGAATGTGGCCACTATGGGCGATCAAAGTTTTACATGTGTATAAATAGGGAAATTTTGTAAAAAAAACTTCTTCTCAAGAATAGGAAAGCCATGATTAATCATATTTATATATTTACATTCAGTGTAATTTTCTTTATGAAATCCATTAGAAATCTACGACGTTCAAATCTCTGTAACATGCGAAACCTTGTCACCACGCGGTAGAATTCACAGTAGGAACTATTTGCATTTTCAGTATCTAGGAACACTAAAATGTATATTGTTTTGACTCAATTTAATAAAAGAAATAACTACTCTGTTAAATTAATGTAAAATACAACAACTATGCATTTAAAATTAATTTGTCTTTTTTTTCTTGCAATGTTCATTTGCATTTTTTCCAACGTCACAAACAGCTCTTACATCTATTAAGCACACCAGTTCTGAAAGGCACTAAATTCATAATAAAGATTTATGAAATAAACAATTATGAAGAGAGAAAATTAGAGAATGTAAATACATGTATAAGCATTGAATTCTTATTTTTGGATGTTTTCGATCCTATAACACACCGATGACATCCAAAAATGAGAATGCAATGGTTAATTGGAAGCATTCTCAGGTTGTGTAGATTCAAAATTGATCATATCATGATCCCTGTTGGTAGGGTTTGGCCACTAAGGGCAATCAAAGGGCAAGAGAGGTGAAACTTTTTTGTTGAAAATTGTTCAAATCATGACCGCTAAGGTTAAAGTGGGGCTGCAATAAGGGATGAAAGTTATACCTTGAAATATACCACAAGAAACTTTTTAAAAATCTTCTTCACAAGACCCACTGAGCAAGAAAAGGTGAAAAGTCTGGGGATCGAGGCTTCTTGACAAAGTGTAGATTCCAAATTGTTTAATTCATGACCTCCAGGGGTAAGATGGGGCCACAATATTGGATGAAAGTTTTACATTGAATTAATTTATGAGAAAAATCTTTTAAAAAATTCTTCCCAAGAACCACTAGGCCAGAAAAGGTGAAACTTATGTGCAAGCTTCCTGAGGAAGTGTACATTCTAAATTGTGTTCAAATAAAGACCCCAGTGGTAAGTTGGGGCCACAATGAGGGGTCAAATTTTTTCATTGAAATGTAAGATTATTTAAAATCTTCTCAAGAACACTTGACTAGAAAAGATGAAAATTGTGTGAAAGCTATCAGACATAATGTAGATTGTAAATGTAATTTGTTCAAATCATGGACCCTGGGAGGAGGATGGAGCCACAATGAAGGATCAAAGTTTTACATTGAAATAAATAAGAAAAATCTTTTAAAATTTTCTTTTCAAAAACCACTGAACTAGAAAAGATGAAACTTATTTGGAAGATTCTAGACATAATTTAGATTCTAATTTTTTTAAATTTTTTTTCAAATCATGGATACTGAGGTTAGTTTAAGGCCACATTAAGGGATTTTTTAAATTTTTTTTTTTTTACAGTTTTTAGCTCTATTGGTCAGAGACCAGAAGAGCTTATGTGATAGTAAGGTGTCCGTCGTCTGTCTAGCTGTCTGTCTGTCCTTCTGTAAACAATTTTCAAAATGCTACACCTCCTACAGTTTTGATCTGATTTCAATATTACTTGGAACACAAGTAGAACTACACTAAGATAAATAATTCTATAAATCGGTTTTTGATTTCAATGAACAGTGTTGCCATGGTCACTAAAAATAGAAAGTTCTGTGAAATACTTTCAAAACACTACTCCTCCTACAATTATAGTCTAATTTCAATATAACTCACCATACAAGTAGACTACACTGAAATACAGTTGAACTTTGGTATCTCCAACACTGAATACCATGGATATTTAGAAGTGATTCAGAAGTTCCAACTTCTAATTCCATCGATATCTCAAATCCTTGGATATCTCAAAGTTTTTTCTTGGTCCCATCGAGTTCGAGATAACAAGGTTTGACTGCATTTGATAATGTTTCTTGCTTTTTGATTTTGATGAATGATGTTCCCATGGTTACTATAATTGAAATTTTTTAAAAAATTTTCTAAAAGGCTACAATTCTCCTATAGTTTAAGTCTGATTGCAATAATCTTGCCACAAAAAGAGACTATTAAACCAAGGATCAATATTCTATGTATTGCTGATGCAAAGTTTAAAGTCCAAGTGTTACTTTTCTCTTCCTTTGTTTTAAGTTCAAACCAGGAGAGCTACAGTCTTGTCAGAGACTTCTGGTTTGAAACATATAAGAAAAGTCTCAAATATCTTCTCCTCAAGAACCACTGAACCAGAAAAGATGAAACTTATATGTAGGTTTTCTGAGATAGTGTAGATTCTAAACTGTTCAAATTCATGACCCCAGAGGGTAGCTTGGGGCCACAGTTCGGCATGGAACTTATATAAGATATTTTTTTTTTTAAATCTAAAGACACACATTAAAACCATCAATTTGCAAACATTTCCATGTTGTGTGAATTTCTTTTTTTTTTTAGCATGGTTAGAGTTGACTAAAAACAGGATCAAATTTTACAAAATGCATGTATATAGGAAAAGAAATTTCTTCTATATAATGCAGGGCCATGTTAGTCTTATTGATACCCCATAGTATGTGGATTCAGAAATTTCTTAGCTTTAGGATCAGGGCCATAGTATGGGGTCACAATATTTCAAGGAATATATATATATATATATATTTAAAATCTGAAGAAGAACATCAGAGTTAAGGTAACTCAGGTGAGCATTGTGGCCAATGGGGCTCTTGTTTTAACTTGTCAACTATTGTCTTGTTATTGTGAGGACATAGTGTTTAAGTGGCCTTATTAAAAAATTCACTTTGGTCAATGTGCAGACTGTCTGAATTTTCTCTTCATCCAGGTGCTGCCATAACAAGAGCTTGCAGTGAAAGCATTGCTCACTGTGCTTGCTAGTGATGGTTGAAAGTTGAAAATTTTTCAAGGACCTAAAGTCTGATAGCCTAGCAGTATGGATAGGATATTTTACCAGACCAAATGATGGCTTACTAGACCAAATGTACATGACTGTGACATTGAAATACACGGCTGTTTGATATTTAAATTCTGAGTGTATTTAGGCAGTTTAACTTTAAAAATACATACTAGTATACCAGTATATAACACTCAAATTCCAGATTGTAACTGTGAATATGAACAACACAAGAATTTAAAAATCATTCATAATTAATTTGATTGATTGAGAAGTAATTTTTCTTTAGAAAATCAAAAAAAAATTAGAAATTTAAAAATTTGAAAGGAAAAAAATATGAAAGAGTCCAAAATGCTTTTCATCTAAACTCTAGTTCCAAATCCTGAAAAATCCAAAATTTTCTGAAGGTCTGATGCAGACCTGCATACCATTACAATTTTAGCGTATTTTATATAATTCTGTCATTGTCAATTATGTTGTTTTGCTTTCAGTACTCAAATTGCAACTTTGAACAAAATTCGGAATTTTTCCCTCATAATGGGCTCTCTAAACTCACTGATTATCACGTCTGCTATTTTGTTTTTCATAGCTATAAATAACTGGCACTGATTTTGGAACCTATATTTATCAAACTTCATACACAGGTATATTTATTAATGAGAGCAATTGAGATGGTCATTATTTTTTTTACCTTGACCTTTAATTAATGACCTTGACTTCTCTTTTCACTCATAGTATATTTATTGAATGAAGTAAAGAATTACTCCATTCAACTTCATACAGAGATAACCCATAAATCTCAGTAAGAGCAGTTCAATCACACTGAAAGTCTGTGACATTGGCCTGTATTTTAGAAAAAAAGATGTGTTTGTGAAACACTGATGCCCTTGTATGGCAGCTTATGGCAAAAGTTTAATTTTCACAAATGCAAGTCAATCTCCAAGGTCAAAGTCAAGAGATTGTCACCCAAAAAAAGGACTTGTGTCAATGGATATACCTGGTAAATATGAAAGATCAAGCACCAACCATTCAAAAATTATGGTCAAGGTTAATGTTTTCTAAAAGTGGGTCAAATTTCAAGGTCAAGGTCAAAAGGTCAAAATTAATGGTATGCAGGGGAAGACCTTGTCATAAGAAATACACATGCAAAATATAAAAGCCCTAGCACCAACTGTTCAAAAGTTAGGGCAAAGATTAAAGTTGTTTAAAAGTAAGTCAAACTCCAACGTCAACAGATCATAATTGTTAGTATCCAAAGGAAGGTCTTGTCACAAGGAATATATGTGAGAAATTTGAAAGCCCTAGTGCTAACTATTCAAAAGTTATGGCCAAGATTAAATTTTTTTAAAAGTGGGTCAAACTCTAAGGCCATTTAAGGTCAAAAATTTTTACACCCATGGGAACATTTTGTCACGATGAATACACATGTGAAATATGAACGCTCTAGCACCAACTGTTTAAAAGTTATGGCCAAGGTTAAAGTTGGGTAATTTTTGCATAAGTGGGTCAAACTCCAAGGTCATAGTCAAGAGGTCAAATATGTTTGTACCCAAAGGAAGGTCTTGTCACAAGGAATACACATGTGAAATATGAAAGCCATAGCTCCAACCAATCAAAAGTTATGGGCAAGGTTAAAGTTTTTACAGACAAACAGATGGACAGGGCAAAAACTATATACCCCCAAATCTTCAATTACGGGGGCATAAGAAAAGAATTTTTTTTTTGTTATTTAATATAATACTATTACTTCAGACCAAACAGACACAGTACATTATGGTCATGTTGCAATACAAATGTGAACCAGAGGAAGGAGTTTCATGTCCTGTTCTAGTTTCAAATGAATACAACAATGAGGCCACACCAATTTAATTTCTCGTTCGTCGGACATTTGATGAAAAAAGAACAAGCGGGCAAGCGGTTAAATAATAAAATTATTATTTTTTTGTAGGCAAAATTTTTAGGCGGAGCGTGAAAAAATTTGAGCGGACAATTACATTTTTCCTGATTTGCAGAGAAAGCAGAATTAAAATACGAAAAATATAGCAGAGATTGAATAGAATATAGCACAGAATTTCCATGGTGTGGGAAATTGAAATTAATATTATTTGAATAGTTTTGTTTTAATACAAGCGCGCGGGTCCAATGAACAAATAATTTTATTGATGTGGCCTAATGATTATTAGGAAAAGGGTCTCTTAAAATTTCAACACCTTCTTTAACTCACTGAACATAACTGCATTGCATCATTTTATTTATTTTATGATGTATTTTCAGGTTGTACTTTATGTAAACAAAGTTGGTCCATACTTCAATCCACATGAAACATATCACTACTACCAGTTACCAGTGTGCCGACCCAAAAAGGTAAATTAAAAAAAGTGAGATATATTTTTGCTCCACCCTGTATACTGCCTGGGCATGTAGTGTTTGTCTTGGCCATCTCATGATCAACTTCAATTGTCATGATCTTCTGACCTTAAAAACCCTCTGTTAGGTTTGACATCTTTTTTCTACATAGTTTATATACATGTATGTAGTTCATACACAGATACATGTTGGTGAGGACAATTCAACTGTTTCATATTTTTTTACCTAGATCTTCTGTTTTAATATGACCCTACTTTTCCTCATGTTGCAATTAGCTAAGTTTCATATAAACATATTTTCATCAAACTTCATACACTGGTATTAATGTTAAAAGCAATTTATAGGTTTATGATCTTGGACTAAATGATTAGGCTTACAATTTACATATTGGACATGGAAAGTATAGTAATGTTATAGATATTTTAGTCTCATCTCAGTTTAACTTGTTGGAAAGAACATGAGGTTTGCCTGTGTTGTAACTTGTTAAATATACATGTACTTCTCACCTCCACACAATGAAAATGTGTCACTGAGCTCATGAATTTGGTTTTACGTACAATTAATGTGGTGACCACTATTATCAATACCGTATTTGGCTGAATATAATACGCACTTTTTTCCCAAAATAATTTTATGTGAGAAAGGGGTGCGTATTTCACACCACAATGGGATTTTGATAGGTTTTTCTTTCATGTGAAACACGGCTATCATACGCACATACCGTAGTATTACCTAGAGACTTGTGCAATTTCTTGCTGTTTATCGCCGTATTTAAAACTTCGGAAAGTTATTGTTGGAATATAGACTTGTTAAAAATGTTATATTTATAACCTTTTGATAGTTAAATTAAATTTAAAACCAAGTTAAAATTAATTTGAGCTACATGTTTATCGTCTCCATGTAGGCCTCCATTAACGATGTTATTTATAGATGTTCACACATTCCTTTGCCACGTGCTTCCGTAATCATAGTACACATGTACCTAATCAGACACTCGGTCAAAAAAGTAATAAGTCATTTTTTAATGAAATACAATACAATAAAATTTATTTTAGGTTTTAGATACTCAGTGAAAATTCATTTCAACATAAACACCCCTCTATACGTCCCAATGAATGGAAGCTAATGTTGTGAACACGTGCGCTTGTCACTTGATAATTACCATTCAACACCCCTCCGGGCAGTTAAATTGTTTACTGACTCCAAAGCATAGTTTTTACAGTTAGAGCACTGATTATTTACTGCCCTTATTAATGGCCATGATTATTTTCTTTGTTAAAAAACGGGGGTTGGTTTATGATATTTCGTATGTATAAGCGTGTGTTGATTACGACACTATACACTTATTTCATGACTACGAGGGGAACAGTCAAACTGTTGTCCCGAGGTAATGGGGAAGACCTGGGAAACTGTTGCCCTCGGCCTTCGGCCTCGGGCAACAGTTTCCCAGGTCTTCCCCATTATCGAGGGACAACAGTTTGACTGTTTCCCGAGTTGTCATGAAATAAGTGTTTTATTACCTAACCTACTATATAATTTCTTAAAGTAATGATATCGACATAATAATCAATGGCCTTTAAAATACATCGACAAATGTTTGTACATGTATTATTTTTTAAAAACAAACTATTAATCAAATTCTCACACCGATTGGTGTTCAGAAAAATTAATGGATGTGATATTATCATGCACTAATAAATTGAAAAAAAAAATATGTAGTAAACAACATAATGATGTCTTGAAGATTTGAATATTACACGTGTATGGCAAAGAACTATACTGAGTGAAAGGGGCCTACATTTTCCCCAAATTACCCTCAGAAAAGGTGTTCATGGCCTCTTCTTCGAAATGATATTAAATTGATTATATATCAGGATTACTTTTCAGATGATAATTTCAAATTGAATGAAAATGCTTTAATTAATACATAATTCAATATTAAAGCTGTAAAGTACGGGGTATTAATTATGACGTCATAATGGAACAGTTCAGCCATGCAACAGTTCATTCTGTGACCAGGTAAACAGTTTTGACTGTTTCATGATTTGCAAAAACATTAAAAAGAATCAGGAAACAGTTCAAAATGCCTAATTACAATTTATATAGTAGGTTAGGTAATAAATTAAACTGTTAAACGCTTGTTAAATGTAATTTTACTTTATCTTATATCGGCCTCATGTTAAAATGATTGAGAGTTAAAAAAGGAAATATGAAGTATGTTGAAACTTAAGTGTTATAATTTACTCGTGCTCTGTTGAAAATAAGATATCCACGAAGATTACCTCGATGTATGAAGACATATATCCCACCTTTGTACATCATTTTTCACAGCTTTGGAGGTGTGTTGATAGCTACACTTTATACGCTTGTTAAATTTTGATTTTATTTTTATAACATCAACTATTTATTTGATTAATTAATTTCAAGTTCAAAAGAGGAAAATCGTAGTCTTTGATTACTTTGATGTTGCAATATCGCTTGCCCTGTTAAATTTACATAATTTTCAACATGATTACCTTAAACTAAAAATAAATATGACAACTGTTAAACTTGCAACATTATCTCTTGCTTTGTTGAAATAAAATTATTTCCACAAAGAATAGTTAGAATACGGCGACGTATTATTTCAATATCACCGTTTGCTAAAAAAAAAATTAATAATAAACTCTAATACTTTTAATGCAACATTATCTCGTGCTTTGTTAAAATAAATAATTTCCTCCAGATTGCTGCGATATGGAAAGTCAAGATTAAAAAATAAAAACGCATTTGAATAAAATATCGTGTTCTGTAAATTTTCGGCACTTTATCTCCGCGCCGATTTTCATAGCAAATTACCGCGATTTTCAAAAGTTCAGAACACCGCTTGGTAAAATTTTCTGCTGCGTATAATACAACCGAACTGCGTTTTTTCCCCCAGTTTCAGGCTCAAAAAGGGGGGTGCGTATTTTACACCAATGCGTATTATATTCGGCCAAATACGGTACTTACCACTGCCTCTGTCCATGACAATGACCTTCTGTTGACCTTAGGTTCTCTGAATAAGCTATGACTACTGTTAAACATGTTAAATGGTCACAATCATGCTTTCATAACCAGGTATTGCCTTTCACCTTGACCATTTGGACTCTAAAACCAATAAGCTGCTTCTTCTTACAAACCTGATACTTGAACAGCGAGACAGGAAAGTCATTTTGCACAATTTAAATTATATTTACATTTTCAATCCTGTCGTGGTCTTTGGTTCTCACCATTTACTTCCAAATTGCAATGGTTTTATTTTATTTTCATTTTAGCTCTAGCATATAATTAAGTAATTAGTGGGTTTGATATATTTCACTTTGAAAATGAGATTTCATCCACTTTATCAATGTTTTTAGCTTGATCTTTGACTTTTTGACTGTGAATCCAACAGGCTTCTTTGACCACCAACTATCTTTGTAGCAAATATAAGACTAAAATCAAATGGTACTTTTTGAATTGTGTTCACAACACTTGTACAGTTGCACAGTTGGACATATGGATAAAGAAGAAGACATTTTTAAATAGATCCAATTGCAACTTTGTGCATGTTGTAGTGAGAGGATAAGAAAGTGAAAGGTGTTCACAACAAGAACAATTGTAGAATGAATACAAAATATTTAAAATGAATGGAGATGTCTAAATACCTGCTGTGAACATATTAAGATATTGAATGATATTTTTTGTCATCAGATATATAGTAAATTTTAGCCACAGAAGTGTACTTTGAAGTATGTCGGTCTGCAGAAGAGTTTGGGATGGGAGACCTCATTTTGAATAATGATAAATTTTTATTTTTGTGTAAATAATATGATAAAAGAATATGTTTAATTCACATGCATAAACAGAGGAGATATTCTTGTATTTTGAGGGAGAATCCTATTTTTAAGTATCACAATTTTGAATGTTTGTATATTCACAGATAGAACACAAGAGTTTGACCCTGGGAGAGGTGCTGGATGGAGACCGAATGGCAGTGTCACTTTATGAAATCAATTTTAAACGTAAGTATTTAAACCAAAAGTCCATTTTTTAAATAATAAACAGACTTTTCTAAAGGCTCAAGGGAGTTTTTCTGATCAAAGTTTGTCCATCATCCATCATGCTGTCTAGCTGTCTGTCTGTTAACTTTTCACTTTTCTACTTCTCCAGAACCACATACTGGACCAATTTCAACCGATCTTAGCATAAAGCATCTTTGGGTCAGAGAAATTCCAGTTTGTTCAAATGAAGGGCAACACACTCTTGAAAGTGGGAAAGTCGAGAACAGGCAGAAATAGGGCGGGTGTCTTAAAAAATCTTCTCAAGTACCTCTGGGCCAGAAAAGATGAAACTAAGAGAAAGCTTCCTGACATAAATTAGATTCAAGTTTCTTCAAATCATGGCCCCAGTGGGTAAGGCAGGGCTACAAAACAAGATTAAATTTTAGAAATAAATAAAGGCAAGGATTAGTGACATTAATGTGCAAGCAATCCCAGGTTGTGAAGATAGAAGTTTGTTCAAATCTTGGCCCTTTGGGCAAAGATGGGACCACAATAAGGGATAAAATTTTTACATGGGAATATATAGGGGAAAATCTTTAAAAATCTTCTCAAGAACAATAGGCTTTATTGGACTATGATTAGTGATAGTAATATGCAAGTTTCCTCATGTAGTATGTGTTAGATTTGTTTAAATCAAGGCCCCCGGAGGTGGGTGGATCCACAACAGGGGATCAGAGTTTTACATGGGAATAATGTAGGAAAAATGATCGAAGCATATTATTTATTGAGAAACTGACGTTTTTGAAATAAGTCAGAATTCACCACGGATCGGACAATATTCACCATGCATCGGACATCCGATATTTAAACCAGAAAAATATTATACCTTGATCTCGGTGCTTTAAAATTAGTGATATCGAAACATTTTTATCTTTTATTTAAAAATTAACCTTCTCTTTAAATTTGGATGACTATATCGATCCACAAATGTGAAGAGATTATAGTTGCATCACATCGCCTTAAATAGGCTTTACAGTACTAGTAATACTAGTAATATGGCAACTCGCGCCTTTGTCTCGTGCGGGTTATCATCATCTAGTTTAAAGAAATAAATCGAGTCCACTTCTAGTTGTCATATATCGATTATTTGTATCTTCACTGAAAATTTAGAGTTTCTATTTTCTATTTCCGTAAAAAAACAGCTGTCATTTGGGTTTAATATGAAAATGGAAGTGATTACCCATGCATCGGAAAGTGTCCGATGCATGATTAATTTGTGTCCGATGTACAGTGAAATAAGCATACTAGTTAAAAACAACTCTAAAAAATATTATACAAACATTGAAGTAAAATTTTTGAAAAATTTCTGTAAAATTATCAATCATTGATAAATTTTACCTAGGTCCGACCCATTCCGTTGACGTCTATTTAAAAGAACGACAACTCTAAAAATTGGAAAATCGTAAAATTCTGGTTACTCCCCTTTTATGATGCAAAATATGACGTAATTTCAAGGCCATTCTTGTGGTATTTTTATCACAACATGAAAATAAAAATCGGCATCATTAAAAAGTTTAAATCTTCACCTTTAAGACAGAAACAAGTAAAAAAACGGGGAGACTCGGGTTCAATGAAAGTTTAATGCTTAAAGTTGTCCGAAGCAAGGTATGTGTCCGATGCATGGTTAACTCACCCTAAAGCGATTGCAGAATCTGATTTTACCCATGAAAGAAACAGTAATCCTTCTTTGGTATATTAAATAAAGAAACTTAATAGGAAAATATAACATTCTGAATAAATAAGCATTAGAATTTAAAAGGTTTAAATTCAGTATCTTTGATATTTTTAACATTTGTTAAAGAAATATATACTGATTTGTGATTTAAACGGGAAAAGGGAGGGTTGAAAAATGGACCTTGAGATACACGTATCTCCAGATTTCAAACAATTGTAGATCACTGTTATTTTACTTATTTATGTCTCAGGTTTTATAGTTTGTACATTAAGGTATATTTGGACTCAGCACAATAAATTTCATTTTATCAAATTCTAAATACTTCATATGTAAACCATTCCTACACTGTCCTATGTCTGAAAAGTGAAAGATATAAACCATTCCTATGCTGGAGATGAAGTGTTTAATGTAGCATTTTGCTGAGTAATATTATTTTTCAAAGAGCTAGCTTTTTGTTATTATTTTTTTTTAATAACAATTGAAACTATTAGAAAATAAGAACTTAAGACTAATTTTGATTAATGTATGTTGACCCTATTCTAGAGTACAAAGTGGGGACAATATTTAACTTCATTTTTTCCTTTGACCATTTAGATGTGTTAGAAATATAGGTTCACTAAGGGACTGAATGGCTAATAAGTTCATTATATCTTCTTTATCATTACAATTCATTAGGAGGCTTATAGGGAATAGAGATTGCAAATCACAAAATCTAATAGAATCTAATAGAACAGTCTATAAGAGCATTGATGTAATTTTGTCATCCTTTATCCTACTAACTAGGCACTTAAGCGATAAATCGGGATACTGCATGACTTACTGTTTTCGTAGGATCAGTCCTCTGTCATGAAGCATTACCGGTAATTTCCTCGGTTACGTTTAGTTTTTAATTGTCTAACAACTGATCTACAGAAATAAATCTTCATGTATGACATTCGAAAGGTCACCTGTATTTATTACTTGATTCCAGTGAAACTTGTAAAGGACAGGTGAACAAATTTTGGTGCAATAATTAGAATTCATGAAACTTGCTCTTGTTTTCTTTGTAATTAAATTTAGAATTGAAAAGTGTTGTAAATTTATTTGTACTTAAAAAAACTAGTATAATTTTTGTATATCTATTAGAATAAAGATAGTAGTTGGTCAAGTGATCAAACCTCGAGCATTATAAAGCCTACACAGGAAGAAACAAGACCTTTCAGTTAAAACTGAAAGGCAGCTTTCAGTGACTTTTCAGTGGCCATTTAGTCACCGAATCGCAGGTACATTTCAGCGACCTTTCAGCCACAATTCAGGTACCTTTCAGTCACCATTCAGCGGACACATTTCAGTTATCTTTCAGTGACCTTTCCGTTCCTTTTCCGTCATCTTTCAATCACCTTTCAGTGACCTTTCAGTCATAATTCAGTGACTTTTCATCAACTTTTCATCAGTTTATCAGTAATTATTCCTTAACAATTTAATAAAATTATTTACATCTTTAAATGTTTTTGTTATTCTTATTGTGATAAAAATATTCAAATACATTGAACTGGTAATGATTAGATGTGTCTTTAAATTGTTTACTGAAGTGTTAAATTGTGATTATAGACTATAAAATTTATGTCTAAATATAATTTTATTAATATTAAAAATTGCAATTCAACTATGGACTCAAAAAATTCAAAATGATTTTCTAATTTCTAATTTGTTGCATGAAAATTAATTTAGAAAAAGAAAATTATTCAAATGATAAAAAATAATAATATTCATATGATAATTTAATTAACTGACATACAATTGCCTTATTTTTTAGGTCACCTGAGTCACTCAGGTGACCTATTGCTATCTCTTTTCGTCCGTCGTCGTGCATCGTCCGTCGGTTGTAAACTTTTGAATATTTTCAGCTTCTTCTCTGGAACCAGCAAACCAATTTTGACATATAGCATCTATGGGTGAAGGGGAACAAAACTTATGAAATTTGTGGCCCCTGCCCCCCTGGGGCCTGAGGGGTGGGGCCAAAACCATCAAAATTAATGCAATCTTTAAAAATCTTCTTCTTTACTCCTAGACATTAAGCAGTCAAACTGTTGGCATGATTGTAATAAGCATTAAGCCCTCCACCAAAATTGTGAAATTCATGGCCCCAGGGTCAGTGGTTCTGGTGCTAGGGTGGGGCTATATAGATCATATAGTGAAAGTGCATTATTTCTTTGAAAATCTTCTTCTCTACTCCTGGGTATTATTGAAACAAATTGAATACATAGTTATGATAAGCAAGAGTGACTCTACCAAAATTATGAAATTCATGGCCCCAGGGTCAGGGGTTCTGGTGCTAGGGTGGGGTTATATAGATCATATAGTGAAAGTGCATTATTTCTTTGAAAATCTTCTTCTCTACTCCTGGGTATTATTTAAACAAATTGAATACATTGTTATGATAAGCAAGGATGACTCTACCAAAATTATGAAATTCATGACCCCAGGGTCAGGGGTTCTGGTGCTAGGGCGGGGCTATATACATGTAGATCACTATTATAATAGTGAAGGTGCATTATTTCTTTGAAAATCTTCTTCTCTACTCCTGGGTATTATTTAAACAAATTGAATACATAGTTATGATAAGCAAGAGTGACTCTACAAAAATTGTGAAATTCATAGTCCCAGGATCAGAGGTTCTCAGATGTTAGGGTGGGGCTCTATTACAGTGAAAATCCATTAATGCTTTAAAAATCTTCTCTGCACCTGGGCATATCAGAGGCAAAAAGAGTAAAAGTTTTAATAAGGAAGGGTATTTTTACCAGATTTTTGAACATCAGGACCATTTGGTCAAGTGTTCTGGTCCAGGCCAGGGCTCTATTCATTTGTATTCTACTGAGAGGAGTTATTCCCCTTTGCCATTTACTTGTGATAATTAATCACTGTAAATAATGTAGTTGAAAGGTTAATAGAATAAAAGAATTATGCAAGAAGTTTTACTGTATAATACAAAAAGTACTTTCATAGTTTTAATGATCATGTAGACTTGTAAATAATAGATAAATAAAAATGAGAGAAAAAGAACTTGTCTTATTAAATGTTCATCAAAGACCAAGAGAGGCCAATGTAAGAGATTTCAACAAGGAAATAAAAGAGTACAGAAGTACTGATTAGTTTGTTCACATACTGTCTGGTGAGAGTGATAAATGAGACACAGATTAGGACCTAATTTATGAACTGTTAATGAATGCTAGACTAATTATTTTGTTGATCCTGATCACTCTATTTTTCTTGCTTTTGGGCAACAAAGCTTCACCTTTCAGTTCAT